TTATTTTTCTCCTTTATTCTCTTGATGTCATTAATCACACTGACTGATTTTCAAATATTAAACCTACTTTACATTCCTGGAACAAACCCAATATTTGATGTCATGTGTTCTTTTAAATATTTTATGGATTCAGTTTGCTAATGTGTCTTGAGGATTTTTGCATTGATCATTATGAGAAATACTGGTTTATAATTGACCTTTCTTGTAATGTCCTTGTTAGATTTTTCGTATCAAGAATATGCTATTGTCATGAAAGGAATTGGGAAATGTTTTTCTTTTTCTGTTCTGTGGAATAGTTCATGTGAATTGATGTTTCTTCTTTATTAAATATATGGAATAATCTGCTGGTGAGGCCATTTGAACCTGATGCATCTTTCTTTGAAGATCTTAATTACAAATTAAATTTCTTTAATATATATAGTACTGTTCAGATTTTCTATTTCTTCTGTCAGTTATGGTAAGTTGCTTTTTTTTTTTTTTTTGAGATGGAGTCTCGATTTGTTGCCCAAACTGGAGTCCACAGCACAATCGTGGCTCACTGCAACTTCTGCCTCCTGGGTTCAAGCAATCCTCCTGCCTCAGCCTCCCAGGTAGCTGGGATTACAAGCACCTGCCACTACCCTCTGGCTAATTTTTGTGTTTTTAGTAGGGACGAGGTTTCACCATGTTGGCCAGGCTGGTCTTGAACTCCTGACCTCAGGTGATCCACCCGCCTCAGTCTCCCAAAGCGCTGGGATTACCAGCATCAGCCACTCAGCCCAGCCAGTAAGTTGCATTTTTCTACAAATTTGTTCATTTTGGCCGGGCATGGTGGCTTACGCCTGTAATCTCAGCACTTTGGGAGGCCGAGGTGGGTGGATCACAAGGTCAGGAATTCTAGACCAGCCTGACCAAAACAGTGAAACCTCGTTTAAAAAAAAAAAAATTATATATATATAAAATACACACACATACACACACACATACATAATGAAATAAAGAAATTGGTTAATTTCATTTGTCAAGTTTATTAGTGAAAAGTTGTTTATAATATCTTCTTAATTATGGGAATGCTGGTAAGACCTATTCAGTCCAGTCTTGCTAATTATTGGTGAATCAGTGTGGCAGATGGAAGGCAACTGAAGTATTTTTAATTTTACAAAATGACAAAATGATATCCCAAATTCTCAAGGTCATGTAAAAAGTAAACAAAATGGGTCCACATATATTAGAATTTTTCCTAAGACTAATTTAATATTTTTCTCTATATTTATAGACACTATTAGTATTTGGATATGCAACTGACTATTTTTAAAGGGTGCTAAATATGTAAAAGGTTGTTACATCATTCAAGTCTAGGGCCAACTCTATGCATCAAGGACTTGAATATAAGGCTAATTAAGACTACGATTGACATTTATTCAACACTGCACAATTTCAGAGTATTTTCACATGCATTATCTCATTTGTTCTTTTCTGTATTTCCCTTCAAAATAAACTAAGCAAGCATCTGATCTATGTGAATAGGTTCCTTTAGGCTTTTTCAGCATTAAGCATGTTTGTTTTCTGTGCCTGGCAAATTCATATTCACCCTAATGTTACTTGAAACACCACCCACTTTATAAGGCTTTTACCAATGTTCCCTCTCAAAGCAGAATTAGATTCCTTTCAGTTCTTCTTCAGCATTTTGTTATACCTAGCTTAGAACACTTTATTTTTTATTTTTATTTTTTGAGATGGGCTCGCTGTGTTACCCAGGCTGGAGTGCAGTGGTGCAATCTCGGTTCACTGCAACCCCTGCCTCCGGGGTTCAAGGAATTATCTTGTCTCAGTCTCCCAAGTAGTTGGGATTACAGGCATATTGCACAGTGCCCGGCTAATTTTTTTTGTATTTTTAGTAGAGATGAGGTTTTGCCATGTTGGCCAGGCTGGTCTTGAACTCCTGACCTCAGGTGATCTGCCCGCCTCGGCCTTCCAAAGTACTGGGATTACAGGTGTGAGCCACTGCACCCGACCACTAGAACACTTTAAATCACTGGGTAAGAATTATAATCCCTAAATAATGATGGTTCAACTTACGATTTTTCAATTTTGAAATGGTACCCATAAAGCCATTCTGTTTTTCACTTTCAGTGAAATTCAGTCAATTAATTACATGAGATATTAAAAAAAAAATTTTTTTTTTTGAGATGGAGTTTCACTCTTGTTCCCTAGGCTGGAGTGCAATGGCAAGATCTCAGCTCACTGCAATCTCCGCCTCCCGAATTCAAGTGATTCCCCTGTCTCAGCCTTCTGAGTAGCTGGGATTACAGATGCCCGCTACCACGCCCAACTAATTTTTGCATTTTTAGTAGAGATGGGGTTTCACCAGGTTGAATAGGCTGGTCTTGAACTCCTGACCTCAGGTGATCCACCTACCTCAGCCTCCCAAAGTGCCGGGATTACAGGTATGAGCCACCACCCCCAGCCAAAGATATTCAAACATTTTATTATGAAATAGGCTTTGTGTAAGATGATTTTGCCCAACTATAGGCTAATGTAAGTATTCTGAGCATATTTATGGTAGGCTAAGCTATGATGTTCAGTACATCAGATGTATTAAGTGCATTTTTTATTAGAATATTTTCTTTTTATTTATTTTGTTTGGAGACAGGATATCATTCTGTTTTCCAGGCTGGAGTGCAGTGGAATGATCATAGCTCACTGGAACCTTGAACTCCTGTCCTGAAGGGATCCTCCTGCCTCAGCCTCCCAAGTAGCTAGGACTGCAGGCATACCTATTGCCACCATACGTGGCTAATTTTTAAATTTTTTTGTTGAGACAGGGTCTCATTATATTTGTCAGGCTGGTCTTGAATTCCTAGCCTCCCAAAGCACTAGGATTACAGGTGTGAGCCACTGTGCCTTGCCTGAGTTACCATATGTTCAACTTGCAGTGAGTTTATCAGGATGTAACCCTGAGTAAAGGAGCATCTGTATTGTTGTATCTTTTTTCCCCTACAGACTTTGAGAGCAGACACTGTATCTTACTCACTTCTGAATTATCAAATGCTGGATATAAAGTAGGTTAAATGCTTCTTAAATGAATACATTATCATGCTGCCTGATGAGATTAAAGAGGCTATCTCCCTCAGTGTCAAAGCCTATATGAACTGAGCCCATGCTATCTCTCTGACCTCATTGTTACATTCTTCCAAGCTCATTCTCTTTTAGCCACATCAGTCGTCTTGCTGTTCCTTAAATATGTCCAACATACTTAGTACTTGGCTGGTTCCTTTGCCTGGAATATTCTCTCAACAAGTAACTACGTCGTTCATTCCCTCAATTCCTTTAAGTTTTGGTTCCAGTGTCACCTTATTATGGTGATTTTTCCCAACTACCCTATTTAAAAATAACAGCTCCCCAACTACCCCAAGCACTAGCATTCTCTCCTCCTTATCCCACAATTATTTTTCCCTGTATCACCATCACTTGACAAATACATATTTACTCTTATATTTGAGCTGTCTCTCTTTCCCTACTGGGATGTAAACTTTATGAAGGCTGGAACTTTTTTTGGTTAAACTGATGCATCTCCTACATCTGGAACACTGCCTTGCACATAGTAGGATTAAATACTTCCTGAATGAATGAACACACTTAATGTAATGTTAGTAATACATCTAGGAAATGACAAAGTAGCAACTGAGACGCAAGATAATTTAGTCCTTTCAGATTGCTACCCAAAAAATACTTGTGACTAACGAATACTAGTACAGTCATGTACTACTTAACAGTGGGGATACATTCTAAGAACTGCATCATTAGGCAATTTCATCATTGTGCAAATATCATAGAGTGCATTTACACAAGCTTAAATAATATAGCTTATACATATCTTGGCTATATGGTATATAGCTTACTGCTCCTGGGCTGCAAAACTATATAGCATGGTACTATACTGAATATTGTAAGCAACCATAACACAATGCTAAGTATCTGTGTATCTAACTATGGCAAAACAGGCTGGGCACAGTGGCTCACTTTGGGAGGCCAAGGTGGGCAGATCACCTGAGGTCAGGAATTCGAGACTAGCTGGGTAACATGGTAAAACCCCATCTCTACTAAATATACAAAAATTAGCTGGGTGTGATGGCGGGCGCTTGTAATACCTGCTAGTTGGGAGGCTGAGGCAGGAGAATCACTTGAACCTGGGAGAGACGCAGAGGTTGCAGTGAGCTGAGATTGCACCACTGCACTCCAGCCTGGGTGACAGAGCAAAATTCCATCTCAAATAAATGAATATACATAGCAAAACACAGAAACTAAAGTACAGTAAAATACACTAATATAATCTAATGGGATCACTGTCATAAATGCAGTCCAGTGCTATCCAAAATGTCACTATATGGTACATGATTGTATATTAAAAAGATCACTGTTCTAAGAGTCAGAATGCAGTCATCCCTTTAATAAATAATTATTTGGGATAGTATTTGGGGTAGTCTACTAGATACTTGGGATATGTCCGATCCTAGGAGCTCATAGTGTAGTTAGAAGACCTGAGTTTCAATACCAGTATAGCAACCAGCCCAGTGGCTTTGGCTAACACATTTTAAATTTATTCCAGCCTCCTGTTTTCTCTACTACAAAATAAAAACATCTACTGCCTAGATTGAATTATTATGAAAATTAAGAGGTAATATGTAAAAACATGTTATGAATGATAAAGCCCTACACAAATGTAAAAGAATCAAATATCCCTAAAATATATTTGAGAAATATTTAGGAAATAAAACATCGGACAGTTCTAAGTTAGAAATAATTACAAAAGTACTCAGTTAAGCAAATTAAAATAGTTATAGTCAGGATCATAAATATAAAAATATAATACATAAGTTTTGCAATATTCTATTTCCTTGGACTAAGAGTTCTCATTGACATTAGAAGATATAATAATTAGCTGAAAGATGTAACATTTTGTTCATAATCTGTGATTTATAGATTACTAAAATTAAGGGATGGATTGTTACCACACTTACCCTACAGGTAAAAAATGATGTAGAATAAGATCAAGCTTTCTTGGTTCTTGACAGAAATGTCTGAAGAGCAAAGGTGTCCATGGAATGACAGCTGTGGGACGAATTATGAAGGCAAGTGCCACTAGGGATGAGTACTTGACACTATAAGAGGAAAATGTGTGATAAGTCAAGTGGGAAATTAACTTTGAAGTTATCTATCATTTACACTGTGATTTGACATCTTCCTTTTGTTATAAATGGCTATATGAACTTTTTTTTTTTTTTTGAGACAGAGTCTCATTCTGTCACTCAGGCTGGAGTGCAGTGGCATGATGTTGGCTCAATGCAACTTCTGCCTCCAGGGTGCAAGCAATTCTCTTGCCTCAGGATCCTGAGTAGCTGGGATTACAGGTGTATACCACCATGCCCGACTAATTTTTAATATTTTTAGTAGAGACAGGGTTTCACCATGTTGGCCAGGCTGGTCTCGAACCCTGACCTCAGGTGATCCGCCTGCCTCGGCCTCCTAAAGTGCTGGGATTACAGGTGTCAGTCACCGTGCTCAGCCTAAATAGCTATATTAACTTTTGCAGGTTACTTATACTTTCTGGGTCTTAGGTTTTCTTATCTGTTAAAAAAGATAGTATTTAAAGCTGTTTTCAGTGCTCATTTTCTAATTCTAGTATTTTCAAGTAAGAAGTTTCGAGTATATGTTTTAATGCCAGTCTTGTGTGCTACAAAAAGTATACTTTTTACCTCAAAACTCTGCCAATTAATTTCTTGATTAAAATCAGGCTTCTCATAAGGAGCTATAAGAAAGTCATACAGAGAGCCTTTCTCTAAGAAAAAGCATGGGCATTTAAAGAAACAGGATTATTTAGGCAGTGGTGGGCTCTGAGTACATAAAATTTTGTTTTGAAAGTAAGTTAATTTTAGCCAATTGAAATATATATATACACATACAACTGTTAAAGGTCTACTGTATAAACTATATGATCATGGATAAAAATATAGATTTTACTAGTAAGACTTCTCTCAACTAATGGTTGAGAGAGATGATAATTTAGTGATGAGGACCATGGATAGTATATTATTACATGGAAAAATAGCCCTGTAAAAATTAAAAGACAGCAAAATAAGACAACCTATATTACCATTATATACCTATTAATTAATAAAAATAACTATAAAGAAATCTATAGGCCAAATATGTGGCTCACGCCTGCAATCCCAGCACTTTGAGAGGCCAAGATGGGTGGATCACCTGAGGTCAGGAATTCATGATCAGCATGGCCAACATCGTGAAACTTTTGTCTCTACTAAAGATACAAAAAATTAGTCAGGCGTCATGGCAGGTACCTGTAATCCCAGCTACTTGGGAGTCTAAGGCAGGAAAGTTGTTTGAACCTGGAAGGTGGAGGTTGCAGTGAGCCAAGTTGATACCATTGCACTCTAGCCTGGGCAACAAGAATGAAATTCCATCTCAAAAAAGAAAAAAGAAATCTATAATGTTGATGAGGATATAAGTTCAGGGATAACAAATTCAAACGCTTACAGAGACCTGCTAAACTATAAAAATGAGAAATGGGCCAGGTGTGGTGGTTCACGCCTGCAATCCTAGCACTTTTGGAGGCCAAGGCAGGTGGATCACAAGGTCAGGAGTTCAAGACTAGCCTGGACAAAATGGTGAAACCCTGTCTCTACTAAAAATACAAAAATTAGCTGGGTATGGTAGTGCATGCCTGTAGTTCCAGCAACTCAGGAGGCTGAGGCAGGAGAATTGCCTGAACCCAGGAGGCAGAGGTTGCATTGAGCCAAGATCACCCCACGGCGGTCCAGCCTAGGTGACAGAGCGAAACTCTGTCTAAATAAATAAATAAATAAGAGACTTGTAGACTAGGTTTGAACCATGGTACTGTCATGAAGTTATCCTAGCTCAAAATGCTACTAGAACTTACAATTTTTCAAGAAAAACCAGAAATCCAGATTTTGATATATGAGCTTGAAATTTAGGCTGGGTTTGGTGGCTTATGCCTGTAATCCCAACACTTCAGGAGACCATGGCAGGAGGATCACTTGATCCCAGAAGTTCAAGACCAGCTGGGCAATTGAAGGAGACCCCACCTCCACACACAAAATTTTTTATTTTCTTTCTTTTTTTTTTTTTTTTAAACAGAGTCTTGCTCAGTCACCCAGGCTGCAGTACAGTGGCACAATCTTGGCTCACTGCAACCTCTGCCTCGCAGATTCAAGCGTTTCTCCTGCCTCAGTCTCCTGAGTAGCTGGGACTATAGGCATATGCCACCATGCCCAGCTAATTTTTGTATTTTTAGTAGAGTCAGGGTTTCACTGTGTTAGCCAGGACGGTCTTGATCTCCTGATCTTGTGATCGCCTGCCTCGGCCTCCCATAGCGCTGGAATTACAGGTGTGAGCCACAGCTGCTCAGCAATTTTTTTTTTTTTTTGAGATGGCTTTTGCTTTTGTTGCCCAGGCTGGAGTGCAATGGCATGATCTGGACTCACTGCAACCCCCGCCTTTTTGGTTCAAGCGATTCTCCTGTCTTAGCCTCCTGAGTAGCAGGGATTACAGGTATGCACCACCATATCTGGATTTTGTATTTTTAGTAGAGACAAGGTTTTACCATGTTGGTGAGGCTGGTCTTGAACTCCTGACCTCAGGTGATCCACCTGTGTTAGCCTCCCAAAATGCTGGGATTACAGGCATTAGTCATTGCACCCTGCTACACATTTTTTTTTTTTAATTAGTGGGGCATGGTGATGCAAGCCTGTGGTCCTATCTACTTGAGTGGCTGGGGCAGGAGGATTGCTTCAGCCTAGGTGGTCAAGGCTGCAGTGAGCTGAGATCATATCACTGCACTCCAGCCTGGGAAACAGAGATGCTTTAAACAGGAAAAAAAAAAACAAAAAAAACTCTTAAAAAAATTTAGCCAAGTAGCATTTGACTCACAGACTGCCTACATACAACTTCTGCTATAGTGAAATTACATAGTGGACTGCCAAGTCTGTATTTCTAGTCCTGACTTACTCCAGATTTTCAGATGTATATTTCTTACTCCTTCATTTGTCTTTTTTTTTTTTTTTTAAAGACAGGATCTCACTCTATCACCCAGGCTGGAAGCCAGTGGCACGATCTCGGCTTACTGTAGCTTCCACCTCCTGGGTCCAAGTGATTCTCCCACTTCAGCCTCCTGAGTCAGTGGGACTACTGGTGCACGCCACCATGCCTGGCTAATTTTTGTATTTTTAGTAGAGATGGGGTTTCACCATGTTGGCCATGTTGGTCTTGAACTCCTAACATCAAGTAATCCACCTGCCTTGGCCAGTTTTTATATAGCTGTGGCTCACACCTGTAATCCCAGCACTTTGGGATTTCTGCTACTTTTATATAGATCATATATTGGCACTCAGAGCTATGTGACATAAACCCCACAACTTTTCCTCAGAACTCTTCAGTGTACACTATGTAAGTTAATAGTATTTAGTTTCCTTCTTTTATTTTAATTTTTTCCATGTAATTTTTTTCTTTTAACTTTTATTTTAGGTTCAGGGGTACAAGTGCAGGTTTGCTATATAGGTAAACTTCATGTCATGGAGGTTTGGTGTACAGATAATTTTGTCAACTGGTTAATAAACATAGTACCCTATAGGTATTTTTTTTTTTTGATCCTCTCCCTTCTCACACCTTCCACCTTCAAGTAGGCCCCCCGTATCTGTTGTTTCCCTCCTAGTATCCATGTGTTCTTGTTTAGTTCTCGTATGTGAGAACATGTGGTATTTGGTTTTCTGTTCCTGTGTTAGTTTGCATAGGATAATGGCCTCCAGGTCCACCCACGTTGCAGTTCCTTTGTTTCTTTTTTGTTTTTGAGTCAGGGTCTTGCCCAGGCTGGAGCACAGTGGTGCAATCACAGCTCACTGCAGCCTTGACATTCCAAGCTCCTCAGCCTTCTTAGTAGCTGGGACTATGCACCATGACTCTTTAACTTTTAAATGTTTTATAGAGATGCAGTTTCACTGTGTTGCCCAGGCTGGTCTTGAACTCCTTGGCTCAAGTAATCCTCCCACCTCAGCCTCCCAAAGTGTTGGGATTACAGGTGTGAACTATCACACCTGGCCACGTTCAGTTTCCTAGTCTTAAAACTTTGGAGATTACCTTAAACAGCACTTTTCATCCCACTTGTCCACTTTTGTTTCATTCCTACTTCTACTGTCGTCATTTTACATTAAGTTCTGACACTTAGCAAACTGGAACCTTTTCATCATGGTTTTTGTTTTGTTTTTTTTTGCATTGCCCAGAAATACTTTTTGGAATGCAGTGACATGATCATGGCTCACTGCAGCCTCCATCTCCCAGGCTCAAATAATCCTCCCTCCTCAGCCTCCCAAGTAGCTGGGACTACAGTCTACTTTTTGTAGAGATGGGTCTTACTTTGTTGCCCAGGCTGACGTCAAATCCCTGGGCTCAAGCAATCCTCCCATCTCTGCCTCCCAAGGTGTTGGGATTACAGGTGTGTGCCACTGCACCAGGCCTAGAAATATTCCTTTTTTTTTTTTTTTTGAGACAAAGTGTCACTCTGTAGCCCAGGTTGGAGTGCAATGGCTCAGTCTTGGCTCACTGCAAACTCTACCTCCTGGGTTCAAGCAATTCTCCTGCCTCAGCCTCCCAAGTAGCTGGGACTACAGGCATGTGCCACCACGCCCAGCTAATTTTTGTATTTTTAGTAGACACGGGGTTTCACTATGTTGGCCAGGCTGGTCTCGAACTCCTGACCTTGTGATCCTCCCGTCTCAGCCTACCACAGTGCTGGGATTGCAGGCGTGAGCCACCGCTGCCTGGCAGAAAAATTCCTTTATTTAACAACAACATCATTGTCATCAATACTGAACACTTATTTTGTAATAGGCCCTATGTTTTACACTTCACATAGATTCTCATTTAATTATCATGAAAACAGTTTTGTTCTCATTTTATAGAAATCAATGCTTATATGTCTCATATAATCCTTAAAGGAATCTGTCATTTATAATACTTGCATTTTTTTTTTTTTTTGAGATGGAGTCTCGCTTCTTTGCCTAGGTTGGAGTGCAATGGCGTTATCTTAGCTCACTGCAACCTCCGTCTCCCTGGTTCAAGCAATTCTGCTGCCTCAGCCTCCCTAGTAGCTGGGATTACAGGCATGTGCCAACATGACTAGTTAATTTTTGTATTTTTAGTAGGGACGGGGTTTCACCATGTGAGCCAGGCTGGTCTTGAACTCCTGGCCTCAAGTGATCCACCCGCCTCTGCCTCCCAGAGTGCTGGGATCACAGGTGTGAGCCACTGTGTCTGGCCAATACTTGCAGTTTTAAAAAGAGGATGCAAAATGTCATTTTATTGTCAGCTCTAGAATACTAACGGTCATGCTTATACAAGGAAAAATGGTTATATAGCACTCCTTTTGTACCACGTGACCCTTGCGCTTCCTGACTGAATTAGGGGAGGGCACCTGAGCCCAAGTAGCCAATCTAAGGCTGGCCAGTGTGAAATAAAATTATGTCCAGATACAGACAGTAGCATTTAATAGACCTAATTATATTCTCTCACACTGAATGTGAGATACAGAGAAATCTGGTAATTGCTAGCAAAATGAGAAGTGGACAGAATCTGGCTAAGCCCCTAAATAATGAAAGGCTAAAGCAGGATTCACTGGCTATTTGGGATATAAATGCACAAAAAAACAGCTCATTCCCCAAAACTGCCTTGGATTCTGCATAACCTTTATTCATCTCTGTGGCTGAGATATTCTACAGTTTTCTTCCAGTCCTGGCCACAAGGCTTGCGATGCCCATTTTCCCTTTTAGCCTTATAAGAAACTCCGCATCATATATGTAACTTGAGTGAATGCTTTTTCTTGTAGTCAAGAGTCTAAGGTAGAAATGATCTTATTTTATTTGATCCTCCCAACGACCTTTTTGTGTAGAAGAAAAATGGATACTAGAATTTTAACTAGATCTCAAATTGTGGCTTTTCCTTTTAGTATATCCTAAATACTGCTATTACAAAAGAAGGTTTTCCAAATCAGATTTGATGATGTCATGCTCCTCAAACATCTCAAATGGTTCCGTTACCTACAGAATAAAATCCAAACTCAAAGTCCCCGTTCCTGCCTCATCCCTTATTCTCTTCTTCCATGCATCCTACCACACTCTGTTAACTACTCCGCAGTCTGCCCTGAATACACTGTAACTATAACTGTAACTGTAAATGAAGCCCATTTACAGGTCTGTGCCTTCACTCATGTTCCCACTGCATGGTATTTGTTTCCCCAGTTTAAAGGAAGCCATATCAAGTCTAACTTTTTCCTATTTGCCCTTCCAGATGGCTTCTTCTCCAGCATTGTACATGTGGGAAAGCTGACCCGAATGGACAACATCCGTAGCTATCTTGCTTTCTGGCTTCTGACAAGTTTGGGCTAATTGAGAGGCAGAAGAGTTGGGTCAGGATTATTTACTCCCCTGGCTGTCTCCTCATTATTGCTAAAGGATGGCTGTGCCCGTCCCCTGTTGAGCCTCTCTCTTATAATTATAGCTCTTTATAGATTCCAGTAACCATTTCTTCTTGCTTCTTGAAGCCTAGAGGTAATACAGACTTCCTACTATAACTAGGCTGGGAGTACTATGGTATTTCCTTATTGGCTTTCCCAAATATTGTCTACACCTTTGTAAATATTCCTTTTGTTAAACTCTCCTTAATTATCTGGTTTGAGTATTATCTGTTTTCTGCTATAATATATCAACTGAAACTTTGTGGTTCTCATGACTCATGAAAATTAGGGGGTCTACTAGACATTACAATATGTTGATTTTTTTTTTTTTTTTTTTTTGAGACAGGGTTTCGCTCTTGTTACCCAGGCTGGAGTGCAATGGCGCGATCTCGGCTCACCGCAACCTCTGCCTCCTGGGTTCAGGCAATTCTCCTGCCTTAGCCTCCTGAGTAGCTGGGATTACAGGCACGCGCCACCATGCCCAGCTAATTTTTTGTATTTTTAGTAGAGACGGGGTTTCACCATGTTGACAGGATGGTCTCGATCTCTTGACCTTGTGATCCACCCACCTTGGCCTCCCAAAGTGCTGGGATTACAGGCTTGAGCCACCGCGCCCGGCCAATATGTTGATATTTAAGATTTTTCAAAAGTAGAGTTTTGTACATAATTAATAACAGTAATTTTTCTTACCTGTTCATAGACTTTGAGCCTTCCAAAGGATAGTAGAAAAGAGCAATTATAGTGAGAACAGTTTCCATGGTGTTTGTAAGGGTTCTGGTACAGCAATACCATGTGAACCAGGAGCACAACTGGCAAAAAAACTAAGAACAAGTATAGAGCAAACATCTATGAGGTAGGAAATGGAAAATCTTAGTACTACTATCTTCTAAATAGCAAGGAAGTCTAAATACTGTGAAAAGGACATCAAAAGGTAGATGATGTTAAAGTAAGTAGGCATGCCCAAATGTTATTTTTAGAAAGTTATATCAAACACAGGTTTATGAGAATAGCTGATCTATATGTTCATGTTAAGAAATTTATATTTTCAGGTGCATTTTCATGGCAGTGCATTTGATTTAAAATCCCATTTTTCATTAATGAACACATAAAACAAATGGATTCTTTGATGGTAGAGTTTACAGAGGATTGAAATTCATACCTAGATTCTTCCAATCAGTATTTCTCAAACTGTCTTATAGTACTGACACAAATTTTATGACTGTTTTTTATTGACCTTGTTTGGAATATTAGCCTTGTATGAAATGTTTCCTTGTTTTGGAATGCTGATGAAAAATTAAGATAAAACAGGAAAGAGGAAAAAAAAAAGCCAGGAGACATTATTAAATTTTAATTTGGAAATTGACTAAATTGAATCAGTTTTTGGAAGAACATGCACACAGAGCACATTAAGTCTACAAAACAAATGTGCTAAAAGAAACTTGTTAGTGGAGGCAGTTGTTAAGTATGTGGCACTAGCTTCCCATCTCTCCAAATATAGCCTTTAAAAATGTTCCCAATTTTCATGAAAGTAAAGGTTTTTCCTCAACTAGAAGAACCTAGTGCTGTATCTCTGGAGGAAGGACTTCAAAGCCATCATGACTTTTGCCAACCATTTTATGTTGAGCTTTCAGCAATGTACATAGAATATAAGTAGAAAATAATGAGGCTAAGACTTTCAAGCAGGCTCATATAAGCTTATTAACTTTACAAAGAGCCAAATGAATTAACAATAGTACTACAGGATCCAATCCCTCATTAGGATATTGTGTAAATGGGAAAAATTCATTCATCCAAGATTTGAGTGGGAGATGTCGGGAATCTATCATCTCACCTTGAAATAAGTCAAATGACAAAAGATATCGTTTTCTATACCATACTCTCTCCCTTACATGAGTCCCGTAATTGTACCAACCTAATACTGTTGTGGCAAAAACCACAATTACTTTTGCACCAACCTAATACTTCAGACATCCCATTCAAAGGTGAAAGAGTTTCAATGCAAAGGGATTTCTTAGGCTGCACCTCACATACAGGCTTGCTAGAGGAACAGAACAAGGGTTGTAAGTAGCTAAGGTGCTGTGTGAAGTAGCTGGTAATTTAGAACTATCTCTACTCCATGCTATGGAAAGACAGGCATTTTGAGGAGTAAAGAGGTTTCCAGAGGCTGTTTGTTTCCCAGGTTTAGACTCTCATAGGGTTTGAGGGCATCAGTGGCTGCCACTGTCCAGGGCTTAATCAGAAGGAGATACGGCAGGTGCCACTACATGTTACTGTTCTTAATTATGGAAATACCTCTGTAAAGTTGTATGAATTATCTTCTAAAGTTGTTTTGGCAATCAGTGTTTCCATGTGCTTTATACCCACAGGAATGAAGTAACTGGCATACAGCTTCTCAAGTGTTTAGAACTTACCACCCATCTTGCCATTTCCTGATTTTCTAGTTGCTTCATTAATGAGTAAAGTCTCACATCTGCTACAGCAGACAGAAGTGCTTGGGCAAGTCTAGGAATCCAAATCTTCATCAGTTAAAAAAGAAGAACAGGATGTTAAAAACATCTGTTGGTTCACAATGAATTATGATAACAATCAACAATCTGATCCAACTATCTATAGAGAGCATTGTTAGTACAAAAATAGACACTATATTTTCTCCTTCTGCAAAGCTATATACCTTTTTCTACAAAAATTATATTAATTTCTCATTAAAATAATCAATATAGTTTTAAATTTTACCAGTCTCATACTCTCTGCATCTCTGTGTGTGTATATATATATATATACACACACACACACACACAGAATATACATATACATATATAGGTATATATATATATGGTATATACACACCGTATCTCATATCAAATACATACACACATATATATATATTATATATAAATATATTTTTTATTTTATTTTGTTGATTGATTGACAGGGTGTCACTCTGTTGCCCAGGCTGCAATCTTGAATCCAGGGGTGAAGCAATCTTCGTGCCTTGGTCTACTGAGTAGCTAGGACTTTAGGCATGCTACTGCCACACTCAGCTAATCTCACCTCAAGTGATACTCCCACCTTAGCCTTCAAAAGTGTTGGGATTACAGGTGTGAGCCATTGTGACTGGCCCTAATTTTAATGTAACTATTAATAGTTAGCCAATCATTTCATTGCGTTAAGTTTCTATTTAAAAGTATATTATATTCATTAGCAACAACAGGTTTTTTAAAAATCAAACATTTGCAGCACTGTGTACTAGGTATGATGCTAAGTACTTTATAAACTCATTCAGTCCTAACAGTCTTCTGAGTCAGGGGCTGTTTTATAGAAGAGGAAACTGAGGTGTACAGAGAGGTTAAGTAATTTTCACAAGGTTGCACAGCTAGTTATTATGAAATGCAAGATTATAAAGCCAGGTTTGCCTGACAGTAAAACCTGGCTTTTAATTCCTAAGTTACACTGCTTCTCTATCCTGCAATACAGATAATAACAAATTACTTTTTTTTTTTGAGACAGAGTCTTGCTCTGTCGCCCAGGCTGGAGTGCAGTGGTGTGATCTCAGTTTACTGCAACCTCCACCTCCAGGGTTCAAGCAATTCTCCTGCCTCAGCCTCCCAAGTAGCTGGGATTACAGGCACATGCCACCACACCTGGCTAATTTTTTGTATTTTAGTAGAGACAGGGTTTCACCGTGCTGCTGAGGCTGGTCTCAAACTCCTGAGCTCAGGCAATCCACCCACCTTAGCTTCCCAAAGTGCTAGGGTTACAGGCGTGAGCCACCATGCCAGCTATAACAAATTACTTTTTTAAAAAGCACAAATAAGGAGGCTGAGGCAGGAGAATTGCCTGAACCCAGGAGGCAGAGGTTGCGGTGAGCCGAGATCGCGCCATTGCACTCCAGCCTGGGTAACAAGAGCGAAACTCCGTCTCAAAAAAAAAAAAAAAAAAAGCACAAATATTCTGTAATTATAGGAACATGGTATTCAGATGACACTTGAAGAGTAAATTTAAGAGTAAAACTGAAATAAAGATTAAATGTATTAGAAGTAAATAGTAGTTAGAAATGCTAATGCTATGCACTAGCATCTCTCAGTTGAAAAAATGTGTCATAGTTAACACTAACAAAATAACGCTTGCTGGTAGAACACAATTTAATCTTGGTGTGTTTCTAAAAATTTGTATGTGAATTTGTACTTTTTTTTTTTTTTTGAGACAGAGTCTCTGTCACCCAGGCTGGAGTGCAGTGGCGTGATCTTGGCTCACGGCAGTCTCTACCTCCTGAGTTCAAGCGATTCTTCTGCCTTAGCCTCCCGAGTACCTGGGATTACAGGTGCCCACCACCACATCTGGCTAATTTTGGTATTTTTAGTAGGGATGGAGTTTCACCATGTTGGCCAGCTAATCTTGAACTCCTGACCTCAGGTGATCCACCTGCCTCGGCCTCCCAAAGTGCTGGGATTCTCGTGCCAGCCATGAATTCATATTTTTGTTGAATCAAACTTCATTAACTCCACATTACAGGAGCTGCTTTACTTTTAGTTGTCAATGGATTTTAGCATTTTAGTTTTATATTCTTTTTGTCCATGATGTGTAAATAAATGCTTAAATTGGAAAGTTAAAGATACATGGTAGTAAACGCCACATAAAGTGTGCCTTGTAAAATACAGGAAAAGGCAGCCATGCACATACTTTCTGTTTACTCTGCATAGGCAGCTATAAGCTTCATCCTCACTTCTTACGCCCCCTGAAAGTCAGTTCATATGAAAAGTCAATTTGGCTACAAACTTAATATGAGCCAACAGTGTGAGGTAGCTATTAAAAAGCTAAAAGAATTCCTGTGCTCTCAGAAATATAAGTTAATGGACCCACCATATTCTGAACTAGTTACTCTCCCTTCAATATTGTACCAGTTTGGAGACCCACATTTTAAGATGGATATTAATGAATTACAAAGTGTCTAGAGGATACTATCTCTGTTTATGAGGTTAAGAGCTAGAGATGTTTACCCGAATAAAGAGAAGTTTTTCAAGGGTGGTCAAGTAGAAATCTTGAATTTAAAAGAAAGTAGACTTTAGCATAAAAATAAGTGGCATTCTGAACTGTCAGTCATTAGCTTTTTGATACCATAATTTTCCAGGTTACAGTAAAGACATACTAAAGATTAAAGCAGTGGAGTGAGGTAAAGAGAAGGAATATCCCAGGTGTAACTCGAGCACGAGGCCTGTGTTGGCAGCTCCCCATTCCACACTTCTGTTCTTCAAGCTCCTAAGTCCTCCCCTAAGCTACAGGAGCCAGATACTTTTTTGCTGTTTTGTGACTATTCAGAGAGACCTAACTGTTGGCCAGGCTTGGTGGCTCACGCCTTTAATCCCAACACTTCGGGAGGTGGAGGCAGGTGGATCATTTGAGTCCAGCCTGGCCATGATGAAACCCAGTATCTACTAAAAAATACAAAAATTAGCCACGTGTGGTGGCAGGCACCTGTAATCCCAGCTACTCAGGAGGCTGAGGCAGGAGAATCACTTGAACCTGGGAGGTGGCAGTTACAGCTGAGCCAAGATCATGCCACTGCACTCCAGCCTGGGCAACAGAATGAGACTGTCTCAAAAACAAAAACAAAAACAAAAACAACAAACCTTACTGTAATTCCTCATTCAGGTTTCCCCTCCTCTCCTCTTTCCTTTCACATGTTCTAAGCCATCACAGACCAATAGACATATAATATGTGCCACATGTATAATGTGAAATTCTATAGCAGGCAAATGAAAAAGTAAAAACAGAAAAAACCCAAAACAGGTAAAATTAATTTCATCTTTTCTAACCCAGTGTATCTAAGGCATTATCATTTGAACATTTAATCAATAAAAAAATTATTAAAAAAATATATTTTTTGTACTAGGCCTTTGACATTCAGTATTTTTAAACTTCCAGCACTTCTCAAATTGAACTAGACACATCTGAAGTCTTCAACAGCCACATGTAGCTAGTGACTACCATAGTGGACTGTGCAGCTCTAAGCCATCTCTCCTTTTAAAAAAATTTTTGTAGAAACAGAGTTTTGCTATGTTGCCCAGGCTGGCCTCAAACTCCTGGGCTCAAGCAATCCTCCCACCTCAGTCTCCCAAAATGTTGAGATTATAAACGTGAGCGACCATGCCCAGGTGTGCACACACCTTATCTAGTTTGTAGAGGAGCTATCTGGGAACAGCACTAGGCTGTGAGTAAGTAGACCTAGGATTTAGTTCTAGTTCTGCTTTTAACATGCTGTGAACCTTGGTCTATTTACTTCACTTCTCTGACTTCTTCTAGCTTCAAAATCAGATATATAATTTACTCAAAATAATCAATATGAGAGTATGAATGACTGATCATATCCTAATAAATCTCTACATGGTCAAGTTCTAGATATGACAATGGGTTCCTTTTAGGGGGTTGGAGTGGGTCAGGGGAAGTTTCCTTTAAATCACATATTGACCTGGTGAGTCAGCTATAGATTGAGGGCAGTGAATAGGTCTTGGAGGAGTAGGAAATTTTTCTATCCTGAAGACCTCTTCATTCGTAATCTGACCTACTTCTTGGGATATAAAATGTCATTGATGAGATTATGTATACTTTCTTGTGATTCCAGACATTATGGATACCTTGCATAATCTATAAATTAGTAGATAACTGTAAGAGGAGAAAAGTCAGGTTGCAGCTCCTAAATTCTACCTGTGTTAATGGAAGATACTCTGCTACTGCTCTGAATTCTCCTTCCCCTTCATCATTCACATTTGAAGCATCACTTTCAGTGGTTTAATCTAATTTCTCAATAATGGGGAAGCAAATACTGTAATGGGGAGAGTACAACCCTACCTTAAAATAAATACCCCGGAACCTGTGTCTTTCTAAGTTACACAAAACACCTCAGGATTTGGATTCTCTTTGGAATGCTGAGCCATTAACCCCACTGTCAGAAATCAGGGAGAGCCCAAACTCTGAGTCTCATCTGAAGATAGCTTAAACGATTTTGGGAGTGAGGACTAGAGAAACTTTTGCCCCATTAGTCCCACCCTTGTAGCATCTCCTGGCAATTGACCCTAGCAATTAATGACCTAGGAATTACTTACTGTTGATGCCTAGTTACTACATAGCACAATGATTATGCATATCATTATATTTTTGTCAAATTAAATTTTTAAAAGTTTTAATTTCAACCCTAAATCCTGAGTGGCTTTATATGTAATTAGTCCTCATAAACTCATACAACATGGTCTTCAACCTACAAGTTAAAAAACACAAAATACAACACTGCTCTCAAGTGATACTTTTAAGAAAGAAGTATACTTCTAATGTCCAAATAATACATAATATAGTCATTTTGAAAATCTGCACATCCTAACAGAATTCCTCACAGCAGGACATTTTCATGCTCAGTCTTGTATTTTAGCACATACTAAAGAGTTACACATCACAGTGTGTCTGCAGTATGGTGGGCTTCCCAGATATGTCTGGACTTGACTAACAGTAGTCTTTTAAAAACAAACTCCAAGGTACCATTATCATTTAGTTAATATACATTAAGCTTTGAAAACGGTGCAATAAATCTACTTTTAGTAAATATTTTGGTGACTTTGATTTAAACTTACCAGCAACTGAACAGTATCTTTCCCTAAAAGATGAAGAATTTTGTAAATGCTTGCAAAGATTAAGGGGTAAGTGTAACCCCTCAATCTCTCTGTCCATTCCCAAGTCAAATAACCATAATTAGTAACATTAAGGATTAAATGTCAAATAAAATTGAAACCTATTTCCTTTTTTTTTTTTTTAAGATGGGGTCTCACTCTTGCCCAGTCCAGTCTCAAACTCGGGCTCAAGTGGTCCTCCTGCCTCTACAGGTGCACACCACTTCACTAGGCAAAATATATTTTCATTTCCACTTATAAAACAATATTTTACTTTTTGGCAAAGTCTTAAGACAGTATTTTATACTGGATATTTGCATTAAAAATACAACTGGCCAACTAAACTCTTAACTTCTTCAAGGCAGTAATGTGTTCTTTACTTTCTCTGTACCCTCCAAGTGCTAAGCACTATGGGAATGTATACTAATGACTGTGTCAAGTATATTAACAAAGAAGAAAGACAGGAGAAATATTAGTATAAAATAATAGTGTACTTTGATGAGTTAAGATTATTTGGGGAAAATATGGAAAACTGAAAACATGTACAGTAGTCCCCTCTTATCTGTGGTTTCACTTTCCATGGTTTCAGTTGCCCATAGTCGATTCAGCCACTGTCTGAAAATATGAGGATATTTTGAGAGAGAGACAGAGGCCATGTTCACCTAACTTTTATTATAGTATTGTGTTATACTTGCTTTATTTTAATACTGTTGTTAATCTCTTATTGTATCTAATTTATATAAACTTTATCATAAGTATGTGTATATATTTTTTATATATAAAAACAACATGTATAGAGTTTGGTACTGTCTACAGTTTCAGGCATCCATTAGGGATCTTGGAAACTATCTCCTGAAGATGAGGGAGCAGGGGGGACTACTCTAAAAGCAACTGAACACAGTTGCTAAGATGAATACTCATCTGGAAGAGAAACCACAAAGGATATTTGAAAACCATGTGATGTGCAACTTCAAGAGACTGCCAGTATTCATCTGGAACAAAACTTGTCTGCACTAAAAAGCAGTTTAATATTCGTAAAGCTATGGTAAACAACAGCAGATAAATGTTTTCTCCAAGAAGATCTGAAAAACAGAACAAAACAGGTAATTGTGGCACAAAAGTCAGGCAGTTTCACTTGCAGAACTTAAAATCTGCTGCTCTGGTTGCCTCTTGCTCAGGCTCTGCCAAGGCACAGTAGTGAACTCCGGCCTCTCCTCACCATTCTCAAAGCCAGCCTGGGGAAGGTTATACAAGGACCACAGCCTCAACACTGGGCCACTACCACTCTTTTAGTTTAACCCACTTTTCTTGCAACTTACTGTATAAAGATAATATTAAAATAAATACTAAAATAAATAAATACATAAAAAAGACTGGGTTAACTAAGGCCTTAGGCTAATTAATTAGGTCATATTAAGTGTGTACCTAATGAAATAAACCAGCTAATAAATTATTAATTTGAGAAGCAACCCTTTGTATATGTGCAATATAAAATGGTCCTCTGTACATTTTAAAATATATTGATGTTTACTATCATATATGCCAGGCACTCTGTTAATTCCTTTGCATGCATCTCAGTTAATCCTCAAAACAATATTACGAGATAGGTATTACTAGCCCCATTTTACAGACCAGCAAATTGAGGCTCAGAAATTAAACGACCTTGTTGTCCAAATAAAGCTGTAAATTACTCATCAGGATTCAAACCCGGATCTGTCTGCTGTCTCCGAAGTCTTGCTCTAAACCACAAACGGACAGCCTACCTGTCGGCCAAATAAAAAGTATTTTTTAAAAATCTGAATTTAGTTGCTAACATTTAAAAATCAGAATTTGATTTTTTTTTTTTTGAGACGGAGTTTCGCTCTTGTTGCCCAGGCTGGAGTGCAATGGCGCGATCTCGGCTCACTGCAACCTCAGCCTCCTGAGTAGCTGGGATTACAGGCACGCGCCACCATACCCAGCTAATTTTTTGTATTTTTAGTAGAGACGGGGTTTCACCATGTTGACCACGTTGGTCTCGATCTCTTGACCTCGTGATCCACCCGCCTCGGCCTCCCAAAGTGCTGGGATTACAGGCGTGAGCCACCGCGCCCGGCCTTTAAAAATCAGAATTTAAATTAAAATCTGTATTTCCAGCATTTCAAAACTCGTTAAGCTCTGGCGACACAGAGCCAACTAGCAGCTGGCTGGTAGTGAAATAGAAGGTGCTTCTTTCAGATGGGGCAGAAGCGTTCCAGGCAGCGCCCCTCACTCACCCCCCGGGCGCCTGGCGCTCTTCTCCTGGGTGCTGAAGTACAAGGTAGACTTTCTCTTTCGCAGCTTTATCTTCTCGTGGGAGCAGTTCCGGAGACCACGCAAAGTGAGGCTGCTATCGCCCCGCTCCCGGTCCATTCCGCACTGCTTTAGAGGCCTGCTGATCCCCGCCCACGATCTTCCTGAGGCGGAAGAGAGACGCAGCAGCGCGCTGCTCGTCCCTGCATTAAGTTTGGCCTTCGCGAGCCGCCGTCGCCCACAAGCGCGGCAGCAACCGGGAAAGGGCGGCTTCCTCGCTCCAACCCCTCAGGGCGCTTCGTCGCGTTGCGGTAAGCTGGTCGGAGCTTTCCTTTCGGCATTTCCAAGCCGGGGGATTGCTGCTCGCCGTTGGTTTGGCGGTCTTTTTTCTCCGGGGTCGGAAGACTGCCGGAACGAGCCCGTTCTCATCTCTGGCGGGGAGCGGGCGGTGGCGAGTTACCGACGGAGAGCAGGCGAAGAACAGTCGGAGGTGCCTGAGTGGGCCTGTAATCCCAGCACTTTGGGAGGCCGAGGCGGGTGGATCACGAGGTCGAGAGATCGAGACCATCCTGGTCAACATGGTGAAACCCCGTCTCTACTAAAAATACAAAAAATTAGCTGGGCATGGTGGCACGTGTCCTGTAATCCCAGCTACTCAGGAGGCTGAGGCAGGAGAATTGCCTGAACCCAGGAGGCGGAGGCTGCGGTGAGCCGAGATCGCGCCATTGCACTCCAGCCTGGGTAACAAGAGCGAAACTCCGCCTCAAAAAAAAAAAAAAAAAAAAAAAAAAAAAAACCGGTAATGATAATTAGAAGCCTCAGTGTTGGTGTAACATTTAAGTTTCGGTGCTCTCACAAAAAACGCCTGCTGAACGAAGCAGACAGGGTAGGGATGATTTAGCCTGTTTGTTGTACAGATGTACAAACAGGCCCCGTGGTTCCTTTTTTCTTTTCTTTTTTTAATACCTAGCAGAAAGGTTGGTGAAGTTGTGATCTAGTCAACCACAGGGCCCAGGAGGAAGCAGGTCTTTCTTTCCCAGATTAGTTTAAATTACATTCCAGGAATACCAGAGCAAGCTAATTTCTAGTAGTGGTTCTGCCACTAATAATTTTTATTATCTCAGGGGCTAGTTTAGGAGGCCATAAAGTGTTGTAAAGAAAAGAGGTACGGCCGGCGCGGTGTAATCCCAGCGCTTTGGGAGGCCGAGGGTGGCGGATCACGAGGTCATGAGTTCGAGACCAACCTGACCAACATGGTGAAACTCATCTCTACTAAAAATACAAAAATTAGTTGGGCATGGTGGTGCTTGCCTGTAGTCCCAGCTGCTCAGGAGGCTGGGGAAGGAGAATCACTTGAACCTGGGAGGCGGAGGTTGCAGTGAGACGATGTTGCGCCACTAGACTCCAGTCTGGGCGACAGAGTGACATTCCGTCTCAAAAAAAAACCAAAAACAAAAACCAAAAAAAAATGTATATCTTTTACTTTGCTTTTCTTTCACACATCTATCGAGTTTCTCCAGAGACTAAGGTATTTGGCAAGCAATACTAATTTTCGGAAAGTACTAGGCTTCTCGCTTTTTTTCTTTCTTTTTTTTTCTGAGACGGTTCGATCTCGGCGCACTGCAGCCTCCGCTTCCAGGTTCTAGTTATTCTCCTACCTCAGCCTCCAGAGCAGCGGGGACTACAAGTGCACTGGCTACTATGCCGGGCTAATTTTTGTATTTCTTTGTAAAGATGGGGTTTCACCTTGTTGGTCAGACTGGTCCCAAACTCCTGACCTCATTATTAGCCCACCTTGGCCTCCCAAAGTGCTGGGATTACAGGTGTGAGCCACTGTGCCCAGCCCACTCGTAAAACCAACCGGCAGGGCGTGGTGTCTTATGCCTCTAATCCCAGCACTTTGGGAGGCTGAGGCAGGCGATCACATCAGGAGTTAGGAGACCAGCCTGGCCAACACGGTGATCCCCCCGTCTCTACTAAAAATAAAAAGAATTAGCAATATGTGTTAGTGTGCGCCTATGATCCCAGCTATTCGGGAGGCTAAGACAGGAGAATCGTTTGAACCCTGGAATCGGAGGTTGCAGTGAGCCTAGATCAGGCCACTGGACTCCAGCATGGGCTACGGAGGGAGACTCCCCGTCTCACAATACACACAAACACACGCACCCCAAAACAAATAAAGGGCAGTCACTTTTTATTTTTTTTTTGGCTCTTTCTTCTAGAACTTAGTTTTATGGTATGACATTAAAGGCATAAAGAGTATAGCTTTTCTTCCCCTTCTTTTGCCATTTAAAAATTATACATTTAAAACCATTGAGAACATTCTGTAATAGAAGAGATTTAGCTTTGTCTTACACCCTTCCCTAATTCAGTTTCTGTACTCCTTATGTATTGATATTCTTGTTTTAATCAGTAGTATGTTATAAAAAATATTGTTCACTGCAGTGCAAAGTAACGACATAAAATCTTTTAAAAGGACATTGTATGAAGTGATGGCTTTGCTTTCCATTTTTGTATACAGATTTGAAGAGATTTCCTGGACGTGGAGTGTGACTTTTTCCAAAACCACCTTTTCCTTGTGTATTTGTTGCAACAATGTTTAAGAGATTGACTCTTCCACAACTGGTTTTTGCTACTGTCCTTGGAATTGCTGGAGGAGTATATATTTATCAACCAATATTTGAACAGTTGGCCAAAGAGCAGAAGGAATTGAAAGAAAAGTTGCAATTGGTACAAGAATCAGAAGAGAAGAAAAGTTAATACTACACGGAGTTGAACTGTAATAATTGCTTTAAGTTCCATTGTAATTATGTTAACTGAAAATCTAGCAAAAAACATAGATGTATTTTAATATAAATAAATCATGGATAATGATTTTTTAACCTGACACTGTTAATGTTTATTGTATTTTTGTCATTTTACGTCTTTTTACCAGGAGAGAGAAGTAATTTCCTTTTAAACGAAAATGAGTATTTTAGGAATATTTTCTACTTGAGGTCAATATCATGGGGTGCCAGTCTCAGTGTGTATAAAATAATTGGGAAGAGTGTTTACAGTAGTGTTTGTAGGTAAGTGAACCAAGATAAACTACCTCAGGCAGAAAGCCCCTCAGTTACTCTGCGATTAGATTGGTTTAATATATTTAGGCAGTCATTCAGTCCCAGCCCTTTTTCATCTCAGGCAGAGTGGATATGTAGTTGAGAATTGGGATGGCTCAGATCAGATAGAGGTTTTAGAGAAGGTAGATGTTGTTTGAGAGGATGGCAGATGTAATGCAGATGTTTGTTTAATCCACTAAGCAAATTTGCATTAATAATGTTATGGAAGAAGTTTATTACGAAGCTATTATTCATACAGTTAAAAATTTTTTAAAGTTGCTAAGAATCGGTATTACTTTTTACCCTAATCTTAAGATTGTATTTTCTTCTTTTTTTTTTTTAATTTAAGTTCTGGGATACATGTGCTGAACATGCAGGTTTGTTACGTAGATGTACCTACCATGGTGGTTTGCTGCACCTATCAACCTGTCATCTAGGTTTTACACCCTCATGCATTATGTATATGTCCTAATGCTCTCTCTCACCTTGCCCCCACCTCCCGACAGGCCCTCATGTGTCATGTTCCCCTCCCTGTGTCCATGTGTTCTCATTGTTCAACTCCCACTTATGAGTGAGAACATGTGATGTTTCGTTTTCTGTTTCTGTGTTAGTTTGCTGAGATTGAAGGCTTCCAGCTTCATCCATGTCCCTACAAAGGACATGAACTCATTTTTTATGATTGCATGGTATTCCATGGTATATATGTGCCACATTTTCTTTATCCAGTCTTATCATTGATAGGCATTTGGATTGGTTCAAAGTTTTGGCTATTATGAGTAGTGCTGCAATAAACATATGTGTGCATGTATCTTCATAGTAGAATGATTTATAATCCTTTGGGTATATACCCAGTAATAAGATTGCTGGGTCAAATGGTATTTCTGGTTCTGGATCCTTGAGGAATCGCCAGACTAATTTACACTCGCACCAACAGTGTAAAATTTTCCTATTTCTCCACAGCCTTGCCAGCATCTATTGTTTCCTGACTTTTCAGTGATTGCCATTGTAACTGGTGTGAGATGGTATCTCATTATGGTTTTGATTTATATTTCTCTAATGACCAGTGATGATGAGCTTTTTTTCTTTTCTTTATAAGACGGAGTTTCACTCTTGTTACCCAGGCTGGAGTGCAATGGCGCGATCTCGGCTCACCGCAACCTCCGCCTCCTGGGTTCAGGCAATTCTCCTGCCTCAGCCTCCTGAATAGCTGGGATTACAGGCACGCACCACCATGCCCAGCTAATTTTTTCGTATTTTTAGTAGAGACGGGGTTTCACCATGTTGACCAGGATGGTCTCGATCTGTTGACCTGGTGATCCACCCGCCTCGGCCTCCCAAAGTGCTGGCATTACAGGCTTGAGCCACCGCGCCCGGCTGATGAGCTTTTTTTTATATGTTTCTTGGCCACATAAATGTCTTCTTTTGACAAATGTTTTGAGAAGTGTCTGCTCATAGCCTTTGCCCACTTTTTGATGGGGTTGTTTTTTTCTTACAAATTTGTTTAAATTCCTTGTAGATTCTGGATATTAGACCTCTGTCAGATGGATAGATTGCAAAAATTTTCTCCCATTCTGTAGGTTGCCTGTTGACTCTGATGAGTTTCTTTTGCTGTGCAGAAGCTCTTTAGTTTAATTAGATCCCGTTTGTCGATTTTGGCTTTTATTGCAGTTGGTGGTCTAGTCATGAAGTCTTTGCTCATGCCTATGTCCTGAATGGGATTGCCCAGGTTTTTTTCTAGGGTTTTTAGGGTTTTAGGGTTTATATTTAAGTCTTTAATCCATCTTGAGTTAATTTTTGTATAAGGTATAAGGAAGGGGTACAGTTTCAGTTTTCTGCATGTGGCTAGCTGGTTTTCCCAGCACCACATATTAAACAGGGAATCTTTTCCCCATTGCTTGTTTTTATGAGGTTTGTTGAAGATGAGAGGGCTGTAGATGTGTGGTGTTATTTCTGAGGCCTCTGTTCTGTTCCATTGGTCTATGTATATGTTTTGGTACAAGTACCATGCTGTTTTGGTTACCATGGCTTTCTAGTGTAGTTTGAAGTCGGATAGCATGATGCCTCCAGATTTGTTCTTTTCACTTAGGATTGTCTTGGCTATCTGGACTCTTTTTTGGTTCCATATGAAATTTAATGTAGTTTTTTTCTAATTCTGTGAAGAAAGTCAATGGTAGCTTGATGGTAATAGCATTGAATCTATAAATTACCTTGGGCAGTATGGCCATTTTCATGATTGATTCTCCCTATCCATGAATGTGGAATGTTTTCCCATTTGTTTATGTCCTCTTTTATGTCCTTGAGCAGTGGTTTGTTACTTTCCTTGAAGAGGTCCTTCATGTGCCTTGTAAGTTGTATCCCTAAGTGTTTTATTCTCTTTGTAGCAATTGTGAATGGGAGTTCACACATGATTTGGTTCTCTCTTTGTCTATTATTGGTGTATAGGAATCCTTTTGATTTTTGCACATTGATTTTGTATCTTGGGACTTTGCTGAAGTGACTTATTAGTGTCAGGAGTTTTTGGGGTGAGATGATGGAGTTTTCTAAATATAGAATCATGTTATTTGTAAACAGACAATTTGACTTCCTCTCTACCTATTTGAATACTCTTTATTTCTTTCTCTTGCCTGACCGCCCTGGCCAGTACTTCCAATACTATGTTGAATATAAGTGGTGAAAGAGGGCAAGTGGTGAAAGTGGTGAAAAAGTGCTAATTTTTTTTTTTTTAGACGGAGTTTCGCTCTTGTTACCCAGGCTGGAGTGCAATGGCGCGATCTTGGCTCACCGCAACCTCCGCCTCCGGGGCTCAGGCAATTCTCCTGCCTCAGCCTCCTGAGTAGCTGGGATTACAGGCACGCGCCACCATGCCCAGCTAATTTTTTTGTATTTTTAGTAGAGACGAGGTTTCACCATGTTGACCAGGATGGACTCAATCTCTTGACCTCGTGATCCACCCTCCTCAGCCTCCCAAAGTGCTGGGATTACAGGCTTGAGCCACCGCGCCCGGCAAAAAATGCTAATTTTTAAAGGGAATGCTTCCATTAAGCTTATATTTTCAATGAGATTTATAAATGTAATCACATATGTAGAAAGTTCTCTATCTAAATCGGCATGTTTTTATTATTGATGTTCTTTTTCTTAAAATTTATTGTAACTTAATATCAGCTATGTTAAGTGGAGACCAGCATAGGTTTTCTTTTTGTTTGTTTGTTTGTTTGTGTGACACCGAGGCTGGAGTGTGACGGCTCACTGCAACCCTGGCTCGCCCGGGTTCAAGCAGGAAGGCTGGAGTGTGACGGCTCACTGCAACCCTGGCTCGCCCGGGTTCAAGCAGGAAGGCTGGAGTGTGACGGCTCACTGCAACCCTGGCTCGCCCGGGTTCAAGCAGGAAGGCTGGAGTGTGACGGCTCACTGCAACCCTGGCTCGCCCGGGTTCAAGCAGTTCTCCTGCCTCACTCTCCCAAGCAGCTGGGATTACAGGTGCCTGCCGCCACATCGGCTAATTTTTGTATTTTTAGTAGAGACGGGTTCACCGTATTGGCCAGGCTGGTCTTGAACTCCTGACCTGAGGTGATCCGCCTGCCTCGGCCTCCAAAGTGTTGGGATTACAAGTGTGAGCCACTTTGCCCAGCTTAGCATGGGTAATTTTTAATAAAAGAAAATGAAGAAATCACAAAAGTAGTACATGTTCCTTAAAACATAACAATACAAAATGAACAAAGTGAAAATTATTGATGTACACATCAATTTATTCATTACCTTTAACAATTTAGTGTGAGCTTATGAGGTTTTGGTTTTGTTTTTTGTTTTAAGGAGACATGGTCTTGCTCTGTCACCCAGGCTTGAGTGTAGTGTCATGGTCATTGCTTGCTATAACCTTCAACTCTTAAGCTCAAGTGATTCCTCCTACCTCATTTTCTAGAGTAGCTAGGACTACAGTTGTGCACAACCACGTCTGGCTTCTTTAAAACAAATTTTTGTAGAAATGGGGTCTCTTGCCTATTCTGGTCTCAAACCCTTGGACTCAAGTGATCTTCCTGTCTTGGCTTCCCAAAGCTCTAGGATTCTAGGTGTCAGCCACTGCACTTGGTAAGACTTTTCCCTATGCACCTAAAAATAGTTCTAGAAATTTTAATTTAATTACCAAGTGTCTGCTGGGTAACAGGTTTGGATTTGCTTGGCTCTAGACTGGGATTCTGTTCTTTGTGTTTTCTCATTCTGGGATGGAGGCTCAAGAAGCAGCCTCTGTCAGGGGGAATGACACAATGTAGGACAGAGAGATTGTCAGCACTTGTAAGCTTCTGCTCAGTTGTGGCAAATTATCACATCTTCTCGTATTTTACCTTAGAGCATGTCACATGCCAAAGCCCAAAGTTATCAAGGCAAGGGACATGAATGGTCTCTTCCCACAGGATACACGGTCACATCATATGACAGGAATATATAATGTTACTACATTCAAGGAATAATCCTAACATATCAAGTTAGACTGCTTTTGATCCTCCTTTTGAAAAGGATGCCAGTTTAATTGTCATATACCAAGTGCCGGAGGCTGAGTTTTTTTTTTTTTTTTTTTTCCAGTAAAGATACCGCATTTGTTGAAATCATAAACCACAAGGAGTTACCATTTCATGTTCACTAGGATGACTGCAGTCAAAAAGATGGAAAATGACAAGTACTGGTGAGGATGTGGAACAACTGGAACCTTCATCCACTACTGATGGGAAAGCAGAATGGTATAGTCCCTTGGGGAGAGTTTGGCAGTTCTTCAAATGGTTAAACATAGAGTT